GGAGGAGGATGACCGGGAGGGGCTGCTGGCTCTGGTTTCATTGCCTCGCGAAGCAGTGGTTGCGTTCCATAGGGAGCTGAGGAAGATTGTGATGGACGGTTTTGCCCCCGAACCTGTAAGTTCTGCTCTTTGATGGGAGCCATTAAGAGGGTATTGCTGGAAATATGAGGTGTTAAAAATAAAGATGGGTTATACCCATTTTGTTACTGTTGGTTGTTAGGAGCGAGTAAGAGGGCAATGTCGAAATATGAGATGTAAAAAGTAAATATGGGTTACACCCATTTTGCTGGCTTTTAGGAATGTTTGATATTATAGGCATGCATGGAGAGTATGAGAGAATAACCCCAAAAACTCACCACAAATTTGGAGTTTTGATATAGAACCAGGACCTTTGTAAAACTGAACGTATCATGAACCAAGGGAAAAAGTAATCCTTGCATCCTAAAAACTTAGCATTCACAATTATTTTAACATACATATAAAGAATTCATGTTTCACAAAGTAAATGGTTGGGGATGCTACGTGCATCTTCAAGTTACATGAATTAAATGATGTCGAGAAAGACAACAAAGAGATTGAACTCAACCCAAAGTAACGAAACAAGAGGAACATAGAGGTATAATGGACATATCAGTGTAAATGTAGGATGACTATAAAAGAATTCCATAGTCCAAATAACAAGCAAAGATTTAGCAAGATTCAAAGAAAACAAGCTCATCCAGTGAAGAGAGACTCCAGTCAACGGAACAATGTACCTGAGATGAAAACTAAGGATAATTTATATCATACAAGAATAGAGAACACCAGCCAGTGACAGTTGAATGTCGTTTACATAAGTTCGTTGGATATTTGGAACAGCAACGATATAGCTAACTTGATAATTATACTGCATACTGGTAACATGTTATATGGTGTTAAAAAGAAATTAAAGCAGGTCATAATCTAATTATAGCAGCTAGGATCAGGATACAACTTTTTTCATATGTAAAACAACACATGCATCATGTCAACAACTTACAGCTGAAGCAGAGCTTAAAAGCTTTCCTTGGCATTCCAAAACTGAATCTGGAAAAGTAAAAGGAAAAAATTAGTGACTTCCAACTATGTGGTTAACTTATTTGTTTGTGTAAGTTGGCATTGTAAAAAGAACACAGCTCATTAAGAAAAACAAATGCTACAGATACCAATAGGAGATTCTTCAATGAATGTCAATGGACCCCTCCATTACCTAAAAACCTCATGCGGGTTAATTTTTTTTTTTTACTCTAAATATGCCCCCGCTGGTTGAGCTTTGAACAGAAACATGGACTTACACAACAATATCAGTTCTTTTAATGTCCATTTTAAATTCATGGCCAGATTTGAACCTGGTTGATCTGATACCTCAAAGGACCCTACTGCTACACCAAAACTCTCAAGTTGTGGTGACAATTTAGGCCTTATAATTTTATACTGTAACAATGAACTACAATTGGTCAGTGTACATGTTTTCATACTAATGTCCAAGAGGAAATAAATGTTTGAAGAATTTTTTATTGCAAAGGGAAGGCATGGTAGAATAAAGAAACTCTTTAATTTCATGCCAATTTGTTTAATCAAAATATTAGTTGATGAGAGTAGAATAAATTAACATCCTTATGAGCTTCCTATTAGGGTAACTAGGACTCTTTGTTCATTTATCCTTAAAGTTGTACAGAGTCCAATTTATCAAAGGGAGTGCCTTGGAATAGATGGATGCTAATGTTTAATACAATTTGAGGAGTTTGATGGCTAGTTTGGTCAAAATATTACACACTTATTTGGATGGAAGAAGTGAAACAGCTAATGATTTGCATAAGACAAGAAAAAACTGTAGTTTTAAAAAAAAATTGTTCGATTCAAATGATGGGTTAAAGAAGTCATAGTGCTTACACAGGCAACTAGAGTTATTGTATATACGACTAGGTTTTTCTGATGAACATCTAATACAAGCATATAAATTCTTCTGTTGACGCACACACAGGAACTTCACTTAAATTGCAGTAGAAACACACAACCAGAAACAAGCATATTTTCTGCAAGGGCTTAAATTAAAGTGAAAACTTAAAATACACTCACTAAGAATGAAATGGAGTAAAAGATCAGAGCATCAATCAAACAACAGAATGCGTGATCTAACTTAGAACGAATCAATAACGAATTTAACTGTGTATATATATAGAGAAACGGAATAAAATGTCAGAAAAGGTAATAAAAGTAATTTGTTCATAAAACTAGGAGCTTTTGAATAGGAATAGAGCACCATTTACTTAGTATAGAATCAATAAAGATAGCAGATTATTTTTTAACAAAAAGGCAGACAAAAACAGAAATTTAATTGTATTTTGCTCTTTTTGTGTGTTGTAGAACAATAAAAGATGGAAGAATAAATATATATAAAGCAATCTTAGGATAGGACTATTAATTACTTACCATTTGTCCTATAGCATTTTATTGGAACCACTGTCCTGTTTGTTCTCTTGAGGAAGGGTTCGGATTGTCTCAGAAACACCGCATTTTTTGTACTTGCGGGAGCGTTTCTTGCTGTTGCTGGGACCTGGGATCTGTATGTGACCTGACAGCCTTGCCAGCCTTGCTTGATCATCTGACACAACCTCTGTTTCAACTTCAATTACCTGTGCAGGGGAATAATTATTGGAGACAGGGCCGAGATGTCCACTTGTTGAGCCCTTGGGTTGACAGTTCTTCTTCACAGTTTTTCCTTTGGGGTTTTGTATAGTAGGTAGTATAGAGCGATCTGCTGCAGAAACTTTTCAAGATAACACATCAAGTAAAAATTTAGAAGTAACGGATGGAAAATGTAATTTAACAGTTTAGCACATATTTTTCCCAACAGGGCACAAACATGTGCTACTTTGTTATTTGAATTTCTACATCAGCCATTTCACTAATTTTAATCAAAATTTATTAAACAGAAAATTTTGTTATTGCAGCATTAGCAAAACCATGACAAGCAAAACATATATATACAAGCTACCTGGGAGATTGCCATTTGTTGGTAAAACATGCATGCCATTTTCAAAGGAGCAGTATAACCATCGTGATTATCAAGAACTAGTTTCAAGGGCTTATCGTCCTGCGGCACAATTGAACCACTACCCCTATTAAATGCATCAACTAGTATGTCCTTTGACTTAATAACCTCAGTCATAACAGTGCTCATATCAGATTCACCTGCAATCATAGAGAGGACACTAATCAGCTTTTTTAAGAAGCAAACTTTACTAAAATTCTCAGTTCATCTCTTAATCAACTAATGAGAGGAACAAACCCAATATACGGTCAATAACAGTGCGAGCTCCAAACTGTTCAGCCTCTTGTTTGCTCCTTCCAGGACCACCTACATACATTTTTCCATCAAAGACAACAGAAGAAATAAATGTCGGAAACAGTCCCGCTAACTGGGAAGTTGTATATGTTGGCAGCCCCATTCTCATCTTAGCTATTCTCATCTTAGCTGCATACTCATGGAGGATAGATTTGTAAAATATATTATCCAGAGAGAAAATGAGCTTGTGAAAGCCTGAAAGATAAAATAACCCAAGTTAGCAAGAACAAACCACAAAATAACGGGGTCATAGTGATGAAAAAATAGTGTATATGTTCGTTTTTTCTTGAAAGTGCCACCCTTTTTGTTCTTGCAGAAGCGCTTTCCGCTACTGTTGGGATTTTGGTTCCTAGAACTACTGTTGGATCATCTGATAGGTCTGCGATTTTAACTACAATTACCTGTCGAGGGCAAGATTCACTGATGACAAAGTAGAGATGTCCATTTGTTGAGGCTTGAGGTTAGTTGTTCCATTGTTTTCTTTGACATTTTCTACCATAGCTGGTAGTGTCGGGAGAACTGCTGCAGGAACATTCCAAGATAACACATCAAATTCAAATTTTGAAATAGCAAAAGCCTTGACAAGCAACACATATGAATATAAAATACCTGGTACGTTACTACTTCTTGATAAAACATGCATGTTGTGATCATCTGACACAACCTCTGTTTCAACTTCAATTACCTATGCAGGGAAAGAATTATTGGAGACAGGGCCGAGATGTCCACTTGTTGAGCCCTCGGGTTGACTGTTCTTTTTGACAGTTTTTCCATTGGGGTTTTCTATAGTTGGTAGTATAGAGTGATCTACTGCAGGAACTTTTCAAGATAACACATCAAGTAAATATTTAGAAGTAGCGGATGGAAAATGTAATTTAACAGTTTAGCACATATTTTTCCCAACAGGGCACAAACATGTGCTACTTTGTTATTTTACTTTCTACATCAGCCATTTCACTACATTTAATCAAAATGTATTAAACAGAAAATTTTATTATTCCAACATTAGCAAAACCATGACAATCAAAACATATTAATACAAGCTACCTGGGAGATTGCCATTTGTTGGTAAAACATGCATGCCATTTTCAAATGGAGCAGTATAACCAGAGTGATTAGCAAGAGTTAGTTTCAAAGGCATATTATTGTCCTGCGGCACAATTGAATCACTACCCCTGTTAAATGCATCAACTAGTATGCCCTTTGACTTAATAACCTCAGTCATAACAGTGCTCATATCAGATTCACCTGCAATCACAGAGAGGACAATAATCAGCTTTTTTCAGAAGCTAACTTTACTAAAATTCTAAGTTCGTCTCTTAATCAACTAATGAGAGGAACAAACCCAATATACGGTCAATAACAGTGCGAGCTCCAAACTGTTCAGCCTCTTGTTTGCTCCTTCCAGGACCACCTACATATATTTTTTTCGTCAAAGACAACAGAAGAAATAAATGTCGAAAACGGGTCCCTCTAATGGGGAAGTTGTATATGTTGGCAGCCCCATTCTCATTTTAGTTGCATACTCATGGAGGATAGATTTGCAAAACATATTATCTTGGAGCAGAGAGAAATTGAGCTCGTGAAAGTCTGAAAGATAGAATAACCCAAGTTAGCAAGAACAAACCACAAAATAACAGGGTCATAGTTATGAAAAAATAGTGTATATGTTCTCTTTTTCTTGAAAGCGCCACCCTTTTTGTTCTTGCAGAAGCACTTTCCGCTGCTGTTGGGATTTTGGTTTCTGGAACTATTGCTGGATCATCTAATAGGTCTGCGATTTTAACTACAATTACCTGTGGAGGGCAAGATTCACTGATGACATAGTAGAGATGTCCATTTGTTGAGCCTTGAGGTTGGTTGTTCCATTGTTGAGTTTTTTCTTTGGCATTTTCTACGATAGCTGGTAGTGTCGGGAGAACTGCTGCAGGAACTTTCCAAGATAACACATCAAATTCAAATTTTGAAATAGCAAAAGCATTCACAAGCAACACATATGTATATAAAATACCTGGTAGGTTACTACTTCTTAATAAAACATGCATGTTGTGATCATCTGACACAACCTCTGTTTCAACTTCAATTACCTTTGCAGGGGAAGAATTATTGGAGACAGGGCCGAAATGTCTACTTGTTGAGCCCTCGGGTTGACTGTTCTTTTTGACAGCTTTTCCTTTAGGGTTTTCTATAGTTGGTAGTATAGAGTGATCTGCTGCAGAAACTTTTCAAGATAACACATCAATTAAAAATTTAGAAGTAGCGGATGGAAAATGTAATTTAACAGTTTAGCACATATTTTTCCTAACAGGGCACAAACATGTGCTACTTTGTTATTTGACTTTCTACATCAGTTATTTAACTAATATTAATCAAAATGTATTAAACAGAAAAATTTGTTATTGGAGCATTAGCAAAACCATGACAAGCAAAACATATGAATACGAGATACCTGGGAGATTGTCATTTGTTGGTAAAACATGCATGCCATTTTCAAACGGAGCAGTATAACCAGAGTGATTATAAAGAGTTAGTTTCAAGGGCATATTATCGTCCTGCGGCACAATTGAACCACTACCCCTGTTAAATGCATCAACTAGTATGCCCTTTGACTTAATAACCTCAGTCATAACAATGCTCATATCAGATTCACCTGCAATCATAGAGAGGACACTAATCAGCTTTTTTCAGAAGTTAACTTTACTAAAATTCTCAGTTCGTCTCTTAATCAACTAATGAGAGGAACAAACCCAATATACGGTCAATAACAGTGCGAGCTCCAAACTGTTCAGCCTCTTGTTTGCTCCTTCCAGGACCACCACCTACATACATTTTTCCGTCAAAGATAACAGAAGAAATAAATGTCGGGAACAGTCCTGCTAACTGGGAAGTTGTATATGTTGGCAGCCCCATTCTCATTTTAGTCGCATACTCATGAAGGATAGATTTACAAAATATATTATCCTGGAGCAGAGAGAAAATGAGCTTGTGAAAGTCTGAAAGATAGAATAACCCAAGTTAGCAAGAACAAACCACCAAATAACGGGGTCATAGTTATGAAAAAATAGTGTATATGTTCGCTTTTTTTGAAAGCGCCACCCTTTTGGTTCTTGTAGAAGAGCTTTCCGCTGCTGTTGGGATTTTGGTTCCTAGAACTATTGCTGGATCATCTGATTGGTCTGCGATTTTAACTACAATTACCTGTGGAGGGCAAGATTCACTGATGACATAGTAGAGATGTCCATTGGTCTGCGATTTTAACTACAATTACCTGTGGAGGGCAAGATTCACTGATGACATAGTAGAGATGTCCATTTGTTGAGCCTTGAGGTTGGTTGTTCCATTGTTGAGTTTTTTTCTTTGGCATTTTCTACCATAGCTGGTAGTGTCGGGAGAACTGCTGCAGGAACTTTCCAAGATAACACATCAAATTCAAATTTTGAAATAGCAAAAGCCTTGACAAGCAACACATATGAATATAAAATACCTGGTAGGTTACTACTTCTTGATAAAACATGCATGCTTTGATCATCTAACACAACCTCTGTTTCAACTTCAATTACCTGTGCAGGGGAAGAATTATTGGAGACAGGGCCGAAATGTCCACTTGTTGAGCCCTCGGGTTGATTGTTCTTTTTGACAGTTTTTCCTTTGGGGTTTTCTATAGTTGGTAGTATAGAGTAATCTGCTGCAGAAACTTTTCAAGATAACACATTAATTACAAATTTAGAAGTAGCGGATGGAAAATGTAATTTAACAGTTTAGCACATATTTTTCCCAACAGGGCACAAACATGTGCTACTTTGTTATTTGACTTTCTACATCAGTCATTTCACTAATATTAATCAAAATGTATTAAACAAAAAAATTTGTTATTGCAGCATTAGCAAAACCTTGACAAGCAAAACATATGAATACAAGCTACCTGGGAGATTGCCATTTGTTGGTAAAACATGCATGTCATTTTCAAACGGAGTAGTATAACCAGAGTGATTATCAAGAGTTAGTTTCAAGGGCATATTATCGTCCTGCGACACAATTGAACCACTACCCCTGTTAAATGCATCAACTAGTATGCCCTTTGACTTAATAACCTCAGTCATAACAGTGCTCATATCAGATTCACCTGCAATCATAAGAGAGGACACTAATCAACTTTTTTCAGAAGCTAACTTTAATAAAATTCTCAGTTCGTCTCTTAATCAACTAATGAGAGGAACAAACCCAATTTACGGTCAATAACAGTGCGAGCTCCAAACTGTTTAGCCTCTTGTTTGCTCTTTCCAGGACCACCTACATACATTTTTCTGTCAAAGACAACAGAAGAAATAAATGTCGGAAACAGTCCCGCTAACTGGGAAGTTGTATATGTTGACAGCCCCATTCTCATCTTAGCTGCATACTCATGGAGGATAGATTTGCAAAATATATTACCCTGGAGCAGAGAGAAAATAAGCTTGTGAAAGTCTGAAAGATAGAATAACCCAAGTTAGCAAGAACAAACCACAAAATAACGGGGTCATAGTTATGAAAAAATAGTGTATATGTTCACTTTTTCTTGAAAGCGCCACCCTTTTTGTTCTTGCTGAAGCGCTTTCCGCTGTTGTTGGGATTTTGGTTCCTGGAACTATTGCTGGATCATCTGATAGGTCTGTGATTTTAACTACAATTACCTGTGGAGGGCAAAATTCACTGATGACATAGTAGAGATGTCCATTTGTTGAGCCTTGAAGTTGGTTTTTCCATTGTCGAATTTTTCCTTTGGCATTTTCTACCATAGCTGGTAGTGTCGGGTGAACTGCTGCATGAACTTTCCAAGATAACACATCAAATTCAAATTTTGAAATAGCAAAAGCCTTGACAAGCAACACATGAATATAAAATACCTGGTAGGTTACTACTTCTTGATAAAACATGCATGTTGTTTTCCTTGCTATTTCTATAACCAGGATGATTAGCAAAAGATGCATTTAAGAGAACAATATTGTTTTGTGGTGCAGTTGAACCAGAATGCATGTCTTTTTCAGAGGCAGCAATAGAACCATGTTGATAATCAAGAGTCATTTTCAAGGGCATAACATCGTCATGTGGCACAAATGAACCATTGCCACTACTAAATGCATCAAAGAATTTGCCCTTTGACTTGATAATCTCAGCCATAACAATGCTCCTGTCAGATTTACCTGGAATTATAGATGGAGCACAAATCAGTTATTCTTAGAATCCAATTTTACCATTTCAAAAGTTCAAATCATAATCAACCAAGGAGAGAAGCAAACCTAATATCCAGTCAACAACAGTGCGAGCTCCAAGCTGCTCAGCGTCTCTTTTGCTCCTAGCTGGAACACCTTTATAAGTTTTTCCGTCAAAGAACACAGAAGTAATAAATGTTGAAAAATGTGCCCCTGATTTGGAGGTTGTATATCTAGGCAGCTCTAAATTCATCTTGGCTGCGTACTCATGGAGGATAGTCTTGCAAAATGTAGTATCCTGGAGTCAAGAGAAAATGAGATTGAAAAAAGTCTTAAGGTGAATAATCTCAGTTAACAAAAAAGGCTTGCAAGATAGAGGATTAATTTCTCTAAATACCCATAACTAACAGGGACATAGTGATGGGAAATTAATGTAACAAAATACAAAAAGTGGTTAAGAAAACTGGTTAAGATATACTGAGTGAAGTTGTCAGCAATAGAAAGGAAGCCAACGTTATATTTCATAGCTAACTTGAGAGCAGGGAAAATACAAAACCATCAAAACATTGCCTGTGGTGACTTTTATTTATGATTATTTTATGTAATGGTTAACTGTTTCCTCAAGTTTGAACTAACCAAACAGCTTTAATTACCAAGGATGCCCCTAGATGTTTGTAACTGAATAGTTGATAAGAGAAACATGGATGTGGGTTTGCTTAATAGCTTGGCTGATGTTGTAGCTATAACTTCTTGATGCCATGCCTAACATGAGAAGCAATCCATAAAAAACACTTAACATTCTGTGACAAGCTTGAGGAGCAAGAGCACATACTTTTTCCTGAGGACAACAACATGTATATGTTACTAAGGGCGATAGCAATATTGTATTTCAGTAGGAAAAAAGAGAACATAATGATAGAAAATGATGAAAAAAGGTAATGGTTGTCAATAGTAGAAAGAGGTATCATGACAGGAATGAGAAACCTGCAAGATCCTCTGGACATGGTGCCAACATACAGTTCTATTATTTATCCTTTGGGTTTCAGCCTTCAATGTTGCATAAGGGATCTATTTGTTGAGAACTTAAAGTGTTAAGTAATTTAAGGAAAGATTGGATTTAATGTCTATGCATGAAAGGAAATAGGAATTGAAAATGATTCTAGTTTTGACAGCTGTGATCGATTTCGAGGCATCTGATAAAGCAATTAGATATAGTGAGACCCAATGTGGAACTAGGCGAATTCAACAACTCCTACTGCACTCTTCCCCTTCTAGATACCCAGGCTAGAATGCATGTAACTGCTTCGATTATACGCAATTACATGTATGCTTTTCGAGGGCTAAAAATCCTATACGTCCTTGGTTGTAGAGAAACTCTGCAACATGTTTATGTACGCTAGTAAGATTTCTTCAATCCATGGACCTCATGAATGATATTGTTTACATAAATTATATAAAAAAGCTTTTAACTGTAAGACCGTTAAATGGACCAATACTATCGATCCAAATAAGTAACTGCAAGATTTTCTCTACAATATAGGTTTTAAAGAATCTCATATTTGCCAGTAATTAGTAGATTAAATATGTAATGAAAATAAAAGACGGTATGCCTCACACACCAGAGCACTTGGCTAAAATAAATATGTAGACAGCAAGTTCAATATGGAAGCATTGTCCAAATATAAAATTTGCATCTTGAGTTAAATATGGTAACAGAGAGCATGCAACTACCCCCTTCAGATGAATAATTGCGTTAAGAACATTTGAAACAGGCTTTCTATCTAATTTTGCACCTAAGATATCTGACCAATTATAACAAGAAGATTAGTTATCGGAGTATATGTGCATTGTGCAACCTTATGAGAGATGTAACACTCAGGGTACTGTTGTCTCTCAATCATACATGATGTTGCCTATCACTCACATACAGGATAATGTGTGATATGCACTTCAACTTTCAAGAAACTTCTTCTTAAAAAACAAATTGACTCAGAAGTTTCAGGTTCAGTTTCAGAATTAGTTTTGTGCCGAACATCATAATGCATATGAAATTCTGGTCATGTGAATGTAAGGGTGTGCAATCGAGCCCTTAAGCAAGTCAATTCTATTTGAATTTAGCTTGTTTATAAATTTGAACAAAATAAATCAAGCTACATGAATAGAAGCTGACTACGAGCTGTGCATCATCACTGATTGCTCTTGGATTGAGCATTTTAATGTTCACACCAACCATATTCAATCTATGCATTGGAGAAAGCATAATATTTAAGATGTGCCAAGAATTTTTGCGCACTTTTTCCCTATTTACTTATGAAATAACTTATATTACAGTGTGCTTCCGATAGAATAACTGTATCTACACTAAAAACAAATGCTAAAGGTTTGTTCATATTGTTAATTGATTCCAATATGACAAACTTCATAATGGCAGTATGTGTTATATTTAAAATAGCACCTAACCTTATGGTATATGCTGTGCATGCAATCACTCATATATCTTAACTAAGCAACAAACATGAACTAGAACTAGAAGGGTCCAGCATGATTTCAGCCTAAATACTAAGCTAAACATGAACAATTCGAACCGCTCGTCTGTTTGAGATCTCTATGCCAAGGATTTATATTCAGCGTTCTAACAATGATATCTTTCTTTTTATCATCAACTTGCCCTCATAGAATCACTTTGTTATTCACAATCTGGCTTCTGTTTACAACATGCCCATGCTCCCAAGCAAATTCTCCTCAATTTGTTGAACAGAAGCTTTGAGAGAAATCTTTTTTTTTAATGTTTACTCCTATGTGATCAACTTGACATGCTATACTTAGGGATCTGATTAGTCATTTTGCACCATATTATCTACCCAGATCAATTGAAGCATTACTTGTTTTACTGTGCAATATATCTGTAGAAACATCAAAGTGCTGTCAAACAAACCACCCGGATAAACAAAGGACATACCCATATCGGATGCACACTGGATGTCATACTTGACAGGTATATGATGGACACTCTTTGTAGTTTATTCTACAATTTTACAAAGTAACCTAGATACAACTGGAGAAGCATCCAACATACACAATTAGAAATGAAATCCATGTGAAGATAGAAATTGCATAAACTTCAGAAATTTGGTTCATGAATGATCGGGTTTGCCACTTTACCAAACATGAAGCACTACTTGACCTCATAATAAATCAAGATAGCAATTGAGCATCTTTAGATATTACCAAAGAAAGTATCTAAAGAGAGAGAACATAGTGCACGAATAGTTCATATGAGCAAAGAAAAGAACATGTGCCATACGTTGGGAATCAGTGAGATTCCATCCAGCTTCATCTTACTTAAAACGCCATCGAGAGCGAGTTTTGCTGCATTCTGCTTAGCTTCTTTTTGCCTCAGAAATACATGCGGAGATACAAACTTCGTCCCGTCAACAATGACAGATGACCTAAACAATGGGCGATGTAGAGATCCTTCATTACATGTTTGATAAACAGGTAATTAAGGGAATCGATGCTCTCTGAGCAAACTCCAGCAACCTGCTTTTATACTTGAACCCGTCTTGTGTCCCTTGAAATCAAGCGAAGTGCGTGAAATAAGTAAAGAATAATATTTATTTCTTTGTTATGCCTTGAGACTGAAATACGGGTGAAAAGGGTAGCGCTTTTCTTGTTTTTCAAGAGTAGGATGATTTTGGGGAAGATTTCGGTACAAAATTTTAGCACATCACTTTAAAATATAGTTTAGGTAAAGCCAGTGAAGCTGGAAGTTAAAAAGTGTTAGGACAAAATTTTCTCCATTTTCTTTGCCCTAAATTTGTCGAAATAGTGTAAGAAAAGGGAAAGTTTCTGTTGTTAAAGCATAATAATCGAAACATAACGCACCAAATGTTAGTAGACTCTGAACAAGAAATAACCCCAGCTCTAAAAATCCACACAACCGTACTAAATAAACTAAATTTAAAAGCAAAAATCCAAGGGGGGGAAACACTAAAAATATTACTCCTTTATGCCCTAAATCTGTTGCGCTACTGGAAATTAGCTAAAAAATGAGCGCAAAAATTCTATAATAAACGCACCAAAAGTCCTTCTAACTTTATCCTTTAAATTTATTGTTGTTAGAAAGAAAACTTCTCTGATGAAATTTTTGGTACAAAATCTTCCCATATTAAACATATGAACAACCTTAATATAATGCTCCAACTTTTTAGCAGAATCTAAAGAAGAAACAACCCAAACAGCTCAAATATGCACTGAAACTGTACCAAATGAGCTCAAAATTGAACGCAACAATCCCCAACAAATGCGCTAAAATTCCTGAAGAGCATAGTGAAAACTCAATCGGGTTCGCCATGGATCCGGCCTCCATCGAGGAGAAGTCAAAAACTAGGGTTAGGTGTTATCGAGGGGAGCGTGATACTTTGAAAGCAAAAACCACTACTGAGGAGCACTTACTTTTCTGTGCATGGTGTTCTCATTAGCCAATGAAAACCTAAGTAGGTTTGTTCACATGAAGTTTGAAGCTGTACGCTTCTTTGGATCAAAAGAGTGCAGTGTTGGATGAGAATCTCTCTCTGTGGTCAATTAACTTTATGGGCAGTGCAATAACTTTATGAGCAGTGCGATTTCAGGGACATAAATGGTGTGACTACTTTATGTTCAGCGGGAGGTGTGATCATTTCCATAGTTGTTGTTTTAGGTATATAGTCAAAGTCATGCTCACTTTCACTTTTGAATCAAAACTCTAATATGGCTAAATGTATTTAACTTCTTAATGAAAGTTCTGTACACCAATCTTACATCCATTCAATTCAATTAAGTTTTGTTTTGTACAGCTATAGTCAGACTTAGTTTCACACTCGAAACATCCGTCTTATGGCTAAATGTATTAAATTCATGGCTCGGTTAAGAGAATCATGCGTTTTCAATCTCAATAGAAGGTTTTAGGTAAGAAAGCATTTCACCGTTGAGTAACCTCTTACGGTAATATAAAGAGAAGCCTTTCATTGATGCGAAGCCCATCTCTGTGTTGAGAAATTTTTCGTGCGTCAATATGTGTATTGAGGGAGCATCCGTATACGTATATGTGGCTAAATTTTTTGACGGAAGAATTTTCAAACCTGAAAGACCACGGGACATAACCAGAATAGTCTTCGAAATCAATTCTGACCAGTTCCTGGTTTTCTACTCAGTCTTGAGCAATTGTATTTCAGTATTTTACACACTTAACTGGTGGAAAACTTTAAGCAAATAAAATCACAACTTCTAGGAAAATGAAAATAAATAGAGGCATCTGATTTGGTTACTGTGATGAACTGTTCTAGTACTCATTGAAACCCTGAATATAACTCACATCGATTAGCAGATTGTGCATCCTTTCGTACAGTACTGAATGTTATACACAACTCAGCTAGATGTTTAAAACTGTATCTGTTTATAATCTTGGAAACTTTTGGAGAAATAGTCTCACTAGAAGCTTGTATAACAGCCAATTAATATTCATCAACTTGTTAATCAGAGATTGGGAAAGATTGGTATATTATTGAATAGCTCTGTACATCAATATACAGATACATGGGGGAGCAATTATGGTATAAGACAACTCATATACAACCAGGATACAACTTTCCCAACACAACTTGTGCATATTACATGAGTTCTCATGACTAGTATACAGGCGAAGTCACAATCATCAATAAATTTTTTCCCTTCCCATCAGAGCATTGAATAAAGCAAATCAATAGTACTACATAGCCTGCTGATTTTTTTTTTCTCAGAATCATCTTACGCCTCGTTTGGTACGCGAGAATGGACATAAGTGAGAATGGAATGGAAGAAGTAATGGAATGGATTGTATGTGGGAATGGAATGGTCATTCTCATTCTCATGTTTGGGTACTTTTGAGGCTAGAATGAAAATCTCGTTTTCATTCCCATGTTTGGTATCACTTGTCCACAAGTGAGAATGGAATCGCATTTTCTAATAATGTCCTTACAACAACATATATTTTTAATAAGATAAAAATAAACATTAATGATAATAACTAAATAATTTTATTTATGCATATGTTATACTAATTTATGTGCATGTTATACTATTGTGCATGTCATCTCTCAAGTGTATGTTCTATTTATATTTTTTAAACAATACTCACTATTTCTTAGTCTTAAAAAATTAAAGAAAAATAAATAAAAGATTATCGCATCTTTCATAGGTCCAAAAAAAATATAAAGAATGATATCCACAGTTGATGCATATTGCATATGAAAAGGATGTCAGAATTACTAATGTGGAAATCAGTTGATTAATAGGGGTATAATTAAAAAATAAATAACTGATTTGATTCTCTCTTGAATGGGAATGACCATTCCCTATCTTCTCACTTGGAATGCTCATTCCCACAAAAAGTGAGAATGGTTATTCCCTGGGAATGGTCATTCCAACATCTAAAAAGTTGGTTTGTTTGGTATGAAGGAATGGGAAGTGAGAATGCCATTCCATTCCACCCCATTCCCGCCTACCAAACGAGGCCTTACAGTGCTCTGGAAGTAGGATTTTGAGAATCAGTGCAGATTCTGTGGTCCATTAATCACATGCCTTTTATCCAAGGGGGTTTTGCAAATATCATATTGACTCCTAGAGTGGTTTTATGTGATGCCCCTATTTTCACACATGGCTGCAGTCCAAGGTGAACCCAGAGATGTCAAACTTGCCAAGCAGTCACACTGTACAATAACACGTTTCACCAATCACAGTAATATCCTCTAGTGGAATCAAATAGAAGTACAGGTACAAAACATGTAAAATAAGGGAAATAGATACAATAGACATGATGCAGAAAGATATATCTCGTAGATAAAATCATGTCTCAAATAATCTAAACTGAAATACAACTAATCTCTGAAGCAAATATCGAATATCCTAAAACGAATCAACTGAAAATCATACTAAGGCAAATTGCCTTAACAATACGAATACAAATTCACATGACTGAATGGAAACATAAAACTACTATGGAGTTCCTACTAACAAACCCTGTGACGACGACTATGCAAGGACTCTGTCATCTTGCGACCATCCGATGCTCTGAGCCTCCTGAAAGGAGAAATAAAATAAAAAGAACAACAAGAAGAGCTTCAGAGCGCTAGCAAGATTACCTTCATCCGCCCCCAGGGGATGGGCTACTAGATGTAGTGGAGGCTCTAACTAATAAGTATAGTCTATCTAGACCATTTTCTCTGTATCTAATGGTATTAATACTTTGAAATCTACAACACGAGATGTAGTACATCGAGCGAAATAATCCAAACAAGGAAACCCTCATGTATATACCGTATGTCTTAAATGGTAGATAACTAAAAATTAACACCAAACTAAAGATAAACAATCTAAAAGAAATCAATAATTAGAGATCCACAACACGAGACTGGTACATCGAGCGAAATAATCCAAATAAGGAAACCCTCATGTATATACCTTATGTCTCAAATTATAGATAATTAAATATTAATCCCGAGCTATATATGAAAGGAAATATAACTGGAAAGTAAAACATCATAAACAACATCAGTATATGTATATATATCGTGTACTCGCAATCATGAGTAACTCGGTCGAAAGACAACTCAACAATGAGTTGTATCACACTTGGCGTCCACCAAGGACTTAAAACAGTTGGCTTACAATATTATCATTCTCTGTAAATTCTCAATAGATCATACCCTCATGTAAAAAGATAAGATAAGTATATTAACCTCTGCGCAAAATCATGCGGAAACGAAGACATAGGTTCACTGACCTTTGTGCATGCTCGTGCAGATAAAATCAACATAGGTTCATCGACCTCGGCGCACACTTATGCGGAAACAACAACATAGGTTCATCGACCTCGGCGCACACTCGTACGGAAACAATAACATAGGTTCATCGACCTCAGCGTACACTCGTGCGGAAACAATAATATGTAGTGGAGAGTAATCAGGACAATACTTGTCATTGTCCCATTTGGGAAATTCATGTGTGTTAGAACACTTTTCATACGTGTTCATGACTGTACATGTGTCAAAGTGTGGCTCGAACTCCGCAATCGCAACTCGAAACAACGTAAACAAAATTAGGAAGACAAACTTAGGTAGACTAAGGCTCTGGTCGACCGGTCAATGGACGTGCACGAGATGCGCAAACAGGCACCCGCCAGTCGACTGCCCCTAGGGCATCGGTCAGCTGGCCAGAGGGAAATCTGTTCCCTTAGGCTTTTAAATTACAGAACTTGTAACACCTTAAATAACTTGATTTTTATCCTCATTATTCATACAACAAGGTCACAACTTGATTGCCACTTAGCAGGATAATATTTTAGAAAAAGATAAACTCTTAGGATTAATCTAATTAGAGTTAACATCATAATAAATCAATTTTCTAAATTTACACATAAGCTATCCACGTGATTAATTATACATGATGGGATCTACCCAAATATTAGAGATAAAATTTCATTTAAACAAGTTATATTTATCTAGGTAATCACAAGCCTAGGAATTAAACATCGTTGATTAACATGAAAATTTACATTTATTATTCCTCTAGGATTCTAACATGATTAATAAACAAAAAAAATTCCAAATTTCTAAAGATCATGATCATGAAACTAAAAGTAACAGTTAAGGGAACAAAATTACAGTTCTAGCATAGGATTTAACATTTTTCATCATAAACTAATTTTTACCATAACAGATAAACTTAAGCATGAAGAATCTTCTTAAAATTTCAACTAATTACAGGGAGAGGTTTAGATGAGGGTAATCTTGCCTCAAAATTGCTGAAATTTCCAAACAACGGTTGTGCGAGATCCCCTTTACTGCAAACGCTAGCCTCTGTTTTCTCTACACAAACGTTACAGAAATACTTAGAAACTAATGTGAGGTTTGAGAGGGGGTAAAGGCTCTATAAAAGATGAGTTGGGTTTTTCTTGACAAGGATCCCTCTAAAAAATGAGTCTCTATTAAAAAGGAACCAAGTTAAAACATCAAACTGTTGTCATGATAGCGCCAGTGACGTCCGCAGGTAAAAAGACGAAAGCTCAGATTTTTAAGAGATGTCACACTTCCCAGCTTTCAAGGAAAATGATTCCCTTCTACATAGTGTCCATACACACACATTCCACACATATTCCAACACAATGACACGTGTACAAAGCTTACAGATGTTGAAAAAGGCTTGAAAATGACATCAAAAATTATTTGGAATGAAACATGAAAATGAGTTGACATTTCGGCCAATTGGACGAATCAGCACAGTGGTGTCGACTCGGAGGGATCTTAATCGACTGAATCGAGATGACACACTCTTATGTCGACTCTAAAGTTGACAAATCAACCGACCAAACGAGACGACATAGTGGTGTCCACTCGAAAGGCGGTGCGAGTTGGCTCGAAGTTCGACCGAACGAGACGAGACGAGATCAGTTGAGACGAGCCCAGACGAGATGAGACCAGACGAGGTCAGACGAGAAGAGTGTCGACTCGAAGGGCGGTGTGACTCAACATGAAGCTTGACCGAACGAGACGACAACATGGTGTCAACTCGAAAGGCGGGTGTCGACTCAAAGGGCAGTGTGTGTTGACACGAAGCTCGAC